TCTTGATGCAACCTTTTTGGGGCACTTACAGGTTAAGTATTTAGTCCTGTTTTTTGTTTTCCATCTGTCTGGTCTTTGCAAAGCAGAACAGATGTAAATGGTAGAGTTCTAAGCCATTCAATTAGATTTCATGCACCACTGCCCTAAACATTTCTCCTCTATCTTAACTGAGTTGGTGACAGATGTGTGAATGTCAAAAACATTTCCAAATTAAAGACAGAAACATATTGTAAGTTGGTTAATATGACCACAATATGTTTAAATGGCAGCATGTGTCATCACTATAGCAAGAACTGTAATGCAGAGGTGACAGCATGACTTTGAATTTCATATTTTCTTTTTGTAACATGTATGAGTCCCGGAGCCTAGAATAAAAAAAGCAGAGATTGTCAAACATACATTAGAAATTATAGGCTTCCCGATATGTGATAAATACCAGTAAGAGCTCTTTGGTGTTGTGCAATTTCCAGGGCTTAACCATGGCATCTAGGAAGCTGAGCTGAGTCTCTGAGAATTTGTGTAGTTGGGCTTTGATAGCATGGTGGCTACTGGCACCTAACTTCAGAAACCATCAGTATCACCAATTCACTTGGCCTCATCATCCATGGTTGACTGACTCAGATTATGCAGTAAATCTACTGATTGATCAACTAGAAGTTGTGTGGATCTCTTTCAATCAATATTTGTCAATCAGGTGGTTTTTCTTTTTTTAGAGTACTTCAAACTATGGAGGCAAAAAGAGAAAGGAACTAAATGCCCCTGTAGTAAATCTACCAACTTATGGACCATGGGAGGGATAGAAATTTCAGTGTGACTTAGGAATAGTAGAACCTGCCAAAGGCTTCCAAACTGACTGTGAAGGATGAACAGAAACTGATCAAGGGTCTAAACTTCCAAGATTACCCACAGATTATGTGACTATTGAGTAGAGTAAAAATAGTGAGCACAATGAATTATCTCCATGCACATGTATCATTTAAAAGATTCCTCCTTTAGGTTGTAAATGTGAATTCACATGAAAGAAAGAGCATAAATTAAAAATCACACATTAAAAATGTTATAAGGGATATTAAAACTAATTTAGTTTTTTTCTATTGAATGTTTGCCACCCTCACACACATAGTAACTTTTTGGCCTGTTTATTCCCATAGTGTTGAATTTAATATCATCTAGTTCCTAACTCAAGAGAGTTAAGAACAGAGGCCTTCCCAGAACCATTCCTGAATCCTTCCTTCTTCCTGGTTCTACCCATACTAAGATATTTTCTTCTATTATTCTCAATGTTGGCCTATGAATGTCACACTGGTGGTTTCTCCTACTGGTCAGTCTGCCTAGTTCTTTTCATACATTTGTTTTTCTTATAAGCTATCTTGGTGAAGATATACAACCATTCATACATTGGTTTAGTTAGTCATTTATCACACTAATGTTCATTGTCGTTTAGCTGTAATAGTTACATTTTAATAAAACTCGTCCTGGCTTGGTGTAAGATGCCAAAAATAAACATGAGGAGCCCCAGTAGTCTTTTAGACTTTGCCAATAAAACCAGATGTGCATCCATTAGTGAATTTCCAGTGGAGGTTTGTCTCCTGCACATTCTTAATGCAATCTGTGGGGCATGGAGGCTGAAGGTGTCTGATTTCTCCATTTAAATCACTGTAAGCAAAACATAGATTATTTGAACATATCTTTTGCAACCTTCATGCCCAGTAGTAATTTTGTAAAATTACTGGGAAATCTATTTCAGGGCAAACTTGGCATTTAAATTAGGTGGTTTTTAATTAGCATCTTGACTGCATGGAGTCCACAGCAGGAATGGAAGGACAGGGAAAAATTACATCAGCTTATATTTGCTGTAGAAAAAGTAAATAAAAGGATGAGACACTGCAAAAATTACCCCAAATAATTTGAAACAAGGTGACAGGTAATTTCTTGGAATCAGAAGGATGAGTTTTATCTTGTATTTAAATTATTAGGTACTGAAAAGAATCTTTGAAAGTCACTATATCAGAATAGTCACAAAATTTACCTTTTTTTTTTTCTGCATGGAGAGGCCCAGAGAGCCGTACTATTGTGATTGTTTTAGTACAGGTGCCAAAGAATGCTCACATACATTCCTCCTCCATCACTGATCAAATTTACCTAGCATTCAAACCATGACTCAGACATCATTTTTAGGTTCATGCCAAAAACTGTATGTAGCTTGAGGACTTCCACAATATCCCCTTGAAACGATATGACAAAACACTATTGTCACTTTTTACTTACTTGTTCCAGGTAGTATTCTGAGTACTACTCCTTCACAGCAACCTGATCAGATAATGTGCTACTATTTTGATATATTTTACGGGTGAGGAAACAAAGATACAAAGCACAAGTGTCCTGTGCAAAGTCACAGCTGGTAAACAGAGTGAGAGCTCCTGAGCAGTACGTCCCATGGAAAGAGCAACAAATAGGAAGGCAGGTCATGCAGTAAGAATGTTTGGGTTCCTGATCTAATGAGACAAATAAGATGATGCACGAAAAGCAGGATGCCCAGGACACAGTATTGATCAATGCTAATGCAGACCTGTGGGTCAGTAGGATTTGCATCTCGCCCATCCTTTTGTGCCCTATGGGTCATGACATAGTGTCTTCAGCTTTCTACTTGTAAAAAAGGAGGAAATGAAGGAGAAATTCTCTTGGAGCATTAACTACAATGTGTATTTAACTTCAATTTATCATGCCAAATTTCTCCCCAAATGTTATTGAGTATTTTCACATCAGGTATACACCTAGCTCAGTCAGCATTTCTCTGTGCTATAGAAAAAAAATCTGTTTTCTTTTTGTGAGCAGTCCTCCAATTTTTGGATAAAACTTGTAATGTTGAATATATTTTCAAATGATTAGCAGGCACAGTGGTACATGCCTATAATCCCAGTGGTTGGGCGTGCTAAAGAAGGGGAATCTCTAGTTCAAAGACAGCATCAGCAACAGTAAAGTGCTAAGCAACTTGGTGAGACCCTCTCTCTAAATAAAATACAAAATAGTGCTAATTCACAATAGCTAAACTGTGGAACCAACCTAGATGGCCTTTAGTAAATGAATGGATAAAAGAAAACATGGTATAGATACACAATGGAATATTATTCAGCATTAAAAGAGAATAACATCATGGCATTTGCAGGTAAATGAATGGAGGTGGAGAATATAATTCTAAGTGAAGTTAGCCAATCCCCCAAACCCAAATGCCAAATGTTTTCTCTGATTTAAGGATGCTGATTCATAATGTAGTAGGGGAGGCATGGGAGGATTAGAGGAACTCTAGATAGGGCAAAGGGGAAAAGGGGAGGGAGGGTAAGGGAGTGGGCATGAGGGTAGGAAAGATGGTGGAATGAAATGGGCATCATTACCCTAAGTACATGTATGAAGACACAAATGGTGTGCCTCTACTTTATGTACAAGCAGAGATAGGAAAAATTGTGCTGTCTATGTGTAATATGAATTGTAATGCATTCTGCTGTCATATATAAAAAATAAAATTAAAGAAAAAAGAAAAAATTACAAAACAGTGTTGGGGATGTGGTTCAGTGGTTGAGTGTTCCTGAGTTCAATTCATGTTTAATCAAAAAAATGATTAAAAATAATTCATATTTTACAAAAATTATAGCTCTAACACTGCCTTATTTAAATTGAAAAAGTTAAGCTGATCTTTCCCAGTCTAATATATATTCAAATGTTTTTATAATGAAGTCATACAGAAAATACATAATCATAAAATTGTGATAGAAAATTAAGACATGTTTAAAGATGGAATTATTCTCTGGAATTGTTTTATCTCCTCTTCACTGAATTCATTTTGAAGATTTTGTGAGATTTGAGATTTAAAAAAATATAATTAGGAATGTACTATGAGCAAGTTCATTTTATATATTTTTAGTTATAAAATGTTGCATTTAGTATTTTTCTGTGTTATTAATCATATCACAAAACTGTCCAAGTGAATTTGTTTTTAACATTGTGTAACATGTTTTTACTTTTATGTTGTCGTGTAAGAACTCCTGATTCTAAAAAAGACTTCCACTACAATCAGAAAGCACAGAGACAATACAGACAGGGTATTGATCACTATGGAAGTTGGTACCCACTGGTACCATGGAACTAGACTGTACGATCACTTTGGAAACAGGTGGCCACGTAGTAGGGCTGAAAAATTCTGCCAAAGCACAATAGATAGTCCTCTTGTGAGTTTCTCTTTCCTCCATTGGCAATGCCACTGCCCAGAGCTCAGATGAAGTTTGGATGCTGATTTTACTGCAAGGGAAATAGTAGGTCCACGTCCACACTGCTACAAACTCAAGTGCAGAGTGTTCCAGGCACACTCGGGCAGAACTGAGAAGAGATGACCCAGTGCAGAGAGAAAGCTATGTCATGGGAATACAAATGTGTCTTTGGGAACTTTGTCTTGGTATTCAGTGATTTTAACAGCCTCTATATGGAAGAAGCATTAGATTTTTTTTTATGCTGGAGAAACAAGAGAAAGGCAGATATTGCTTGATATTTACAAGAATATGAAATAGTCACACACTCTATTGGAAAGAGCACTGGAATTTCATTTGGAACAATTGATTCTGTGCTGGGTCCCTGATGCTGATCCTGTCTTACCATGAGAGTTAGCTGCTTAACTTCTCTGAATTTTTTTCCCTCAAAAAATGAGCATAATATCATCTATCTTCTAGGTTGGGGAAGAATAAAAATACCAAAAGATACAACATTTTAGGAAGTACAGCAATATTAGGTAGCCCTCAGTGAATTAGTGTCTACTGTAGGGCCTTCTTTCAGGAATATCCAATAGGAATTGAAAAGGACAATAAACCTATAAACCTTATGGACTTTATTAAATAAATGAAAATATATACTATTTTTCCCATAGATTTTTTTAAAGGATTCTTATTCAACGATTAGTTGAATAAGCCTCTAAGTCCAGATTTTAGGAAACTAAAAGCTAAAATATGAAAAACAGAGTAATGTGTGCATTTTAATGGTTTGCTCTGGAACCAGTTTCTTAACATATGTAAATGGTTTTGATCTGCAAACATACAGATACCAATCTGGATGATGAGAAATATAGAGTGTTATGAGGTTTCCACTCCTGAATGACACATGCCCCAGTGAACAGAAGGTAGAGGAGGGACAGAAGTCTTTCTGTTTGTGCTAGAATTTTCTAAGTAAACTGCCTTCAAGTGAGCAGCCTCAAGAAGTACTATCCTTTCTATCATGGGTTTGTGCTAGAGTTGAAGTTTAGTTTAGCAATTTTTGGAGACAGAGGCTGCAAAGAGCTTTCACATATAGATTAGAGAATTAAACTAAAAATGATTTTTTTTTCTCTCTACTATGATTTCTTTGTACTGCAAGACTTAATAACTTGGAATGGAAAGGACAGATCTGGATTAATGGCATTTAAAACTGAGTTAATTCTCAATGAGAGACCTGATAATGGAGACAGAAAATATTGAGTTTTTTTAGGATGGTATAGCTTTCTAAGTGGATTCAACCTAGGAAGAGAAGTAGGGTGTTGTTGGGATTACAGACATGTACTACTGCGTTTGGCAAGTTGAAAGTAATTTTAGTGACAAATTTAATTTTTATATGAATCCAGACTACTTCTCCTGATTATTATCAACCCTACAAAAGTAACTTTATTGCTAAATATTATTTCTGGAATAGATGCACATTACCTTATTCTCTCATCCTTCTGTTGAAGAGTGAGGTTTATTTCCATTATTTTTACTATTGAAAATACTAAAAATCACATATTTATTCACACAGCTTAATTTTTTTCTTGAAATGGTACTACTGCAATAAGATTATTGGGTATGACTATAATCAAGGTTTTTATGTATAACGATGTGTTTTCCAATTGTGTTCAGATAAACAAGAAACAATTTTAGCACATTTCTGAGGGCAGGGTATGTTTAGTTACTATAAACTTCCTTTCAGGATGAGGTCTGAGAATTAGTCATTAATCTGTCTCCTGAGAAAAAGAACATATAGCACTTTGCAGAAAGCTGCTAATTAATCCTCCCAACTCCCTAGTGAGAGAGAGTTAGAAATGTCTCCATTGCAGCACTTCCAAGGAAATGTTGGTAATCAATTTGACAGACATAGATTCTAATTCCACGGATGTGCGAAAGCCTCCTGCTAGATGACTTAGGACTTCTAAAACTGTGCCAGCTGGCTCCAGAGGTGTCCTGGAAGATTGTGGACTGCTTCATCTGCCATGCCCAGTGTGTCCAAGGCTTGAGAACCCTTGGTTCTGAGTGGGGATTCCAGAGTCTCACCTGTGGGTTCTCTAGGCTTAACCTTTTTGTGCATGAGTTCTCTACAATTTCAAAGTAATGATGGGATTTACATAATCTTTGATACTGTTTTTAACATTATGTCCAATTTCTCTTATGTTTTTGCTCCCATTTGACTGAGCATCTCCAGATGCCTCAGCCTTGTTCTGTTTATTCTATTATTTTTTTTATAACAGCTAACACTAATTTTCACAGTGAAGTAGAATTCATATTCTACTTTTGGACTTCATATTCCTAAAGAACAGCCCTGACAGGATAAAGATGTTTCATTCGCTTTGTTTTGTGTTTATTTTCTTTGGAAGTAATTTCTGATTAAGTGAAAAGCTACAAAAACAAAAGCATTTCAAAAGTACCCTGTTCCTAGTCTTGGCAATTAACATTTTATGCCATTTACTTTGTCATTTTCTGTGTTTCTGCTGATTGCTTGATACATAGCTTTTATTTATTTATTTTTTGATCCATCAGTGGCACTGTCCCTAAGCTGCTTAGTGTGTTCCCTCCCAGGTGCTATCAGTTTGCATGGTAAGGTATCAACTTAAAAGCCAAGGGGATGCCCTTTGGTGAAAAATGATCTCCAGGGATAAAGTATCTACTGAGGATACTCTTTCCAGGACTTGGAGCTATACTTTGCCTGAGTGAATTTAGATTACCCAGAAGCTTTCTCTAAGGCAACTGCTATTAGTTGAATGAGTCATAGGTTTTATGCCACCATGTACTTGCATTTACCTAGAGTGCTCTTGCATTTTCTAGTCCTCCTTCATATCAAACTTTCTCAGACTGAAAACGCTTTCACGTGTTTCAAGAGTCAATTGAGCCAGGCGTGGTGGTGCATGCCCGTAATCCCAGCAGCTCCTGGGGCCGAGCCAGGTGGATCACCAGTTCAAAGCCAGCCTCAGCAAAAGTGAGGTGTTAAGCAACTCAGTGAGACCCTGACTCTAAATAAAATACAAAATAGAGCTGGGGACATGACTCAGTGGCCAAGTACTCCTGAGTTTGATCCCCAGTACCAAAAAAAAAAAAAAAAAAAAAAGAAAAAAAATCAATTGACTATCTCCTTTTAAAACTTTCTCTGAATTTATCCCTGAAAGAAATTTCCTTTATAATGGCACATGTGAAGTTTCCTTCTCTTCTGTGTGTTCTGTGAGGTGGCAAGCTTCCCAAAGGAGAGAGCCTGTGTAGTGTTGATTTCCTTTGTATCTAGCAAGTAGTAGAGTGAGTGGCACATTTAGGTACTTGA